ACGGCTTATATTACTTTTACTAGAATGATAGAGGCTTTCTCTTGATGCTTGTTGAACGTGTTATATGGGAACTTTCCCGCTGGTAATCCTCACAAGCAAAAAGTAGGCATGACCCACAAACAAATCGCCGTTGATCAAGTCCAACCACGGACATGCCAAGTACGTGAATTAGGCTGAAGTGCGGATAAAAGATTTGCGCTAGAAAACCATAATGAAAGTTCATTGTAATAACTGGCAAATGTCATAAAGTTCTAATTGTGGGGTTGGTCAATTTATAATAACCTTGGCCTCTGATTCTGTCTTTGGCATCAGGTGGTTAGAAACTTTATCAACTTTCTTGTTTGCACGTGTGTCGCCTGTGCGCGTGCCCTTCTGCCTTGAGTTAGAGAAACTGGAACATTCCTAGGGCATTAGGTTGTAGTGGATTGCAAAATTAATTTCTTTTGCCGCCGGGAAAATGAACATTTAGTTATTTAGAGTGGCAAAATATTCATTTTAGAAGCGCCTCTAAAGCAAAGCACTTATTCTTGCGTCATTATGAACATCTTGTATGAAGAGTTAGTGTCTAACATTCAGCAGCAAAAAAATTCACGGCTACTCATTTGGCATCAAACGTCTCTCACTCAAGCAAAAGTTACAGGAAGGAGATCCCATATTAATCGCTTTTTTGCTTGCCCTTCGGAAACAAAAATAGTTGAGGTTTGATCTTTAACTGTGCTTTTATACATCTCTTTGGCTATTTTTGTGGAGCTGCCAATATGGCTTATAAAAAGGCAAACAAAACTTACCAGTGCTTTGTTCCTGACAATTCTGTTTATTGAAGACACAGATGGTAGAGTTTCCTGGGTGCAGATGCCGTCTTTCTCCAGACGATCCCTGATCTCCCAAGCGAACATGGTGGGTGTCTCAGACTTATATCGGTGAATGGCTTCCACCACTTGGGGAGTCGCCACTTTTGGCTTCGATCCCCCGATCACTCCCGGACGAATGCTACCAGTCTCGTTGTATCTGCAAACACCAGATATGTCTGCGCTCAGTTGCATTGCTCTGCAATTAATTTCGTGCCTTGACACGTAGACGAAACGAAAAGCTCAAATATAATCATACTGATTGCAGGTCAACATCAATTCCAGTATCTTTTTTGCGTCCCTATAATGCTTAAGCTTCTGCTTCTTTTCTAGATTGCATAGGCATTTGTCTTTACAGATAATTATTTAAGTTTCTTTTTCATGCGTTTCGAAGCGTCGTTTACCTTCGTAGATTTGTAGCAACCAAAGGTCAATCGCACAACCACCACGTATTCGTTTCACAGTGGTGTTGGCGCTGTACTACGGGCACTAAAAGCATTGGACCGTAGTCGATTTTATATCTTGGTGGAGTTTTGCATTTTGACAAAATCTTACTGGGAGGTGCTATCAGCCAATCTATTTGGGGCATTGAACCCAATGTTACTTCTTTCATCCCTTAGAAGTCACAGAGAATTTTAAAAGTGTGGGGGTTGGCTGCCTTTTAATGAAATTTAATAGTAACACTTGTATCTATTCCCTCATCTATGTCCATAAAATGGTCATTGAGGAAAGACCGTGGGAGAGCAGCAACCCTAAAATGCCTGTCAAGTAACGTTTGGTATATCTTTAATTACTCCTTTGGATTACACACAGCTATGCATTCTGCTCATTTACTTGATGTAGCGGGTGATTATAATTTACAGTCTCAACTTAAATGTTGAGTTAGAATATTACTATCGTGTTTTGTTTTAAAATTTTCCGCTATGCAATAAACAGCCCGCAGCATGGCCCACCTTCACACTTCCCAATGCTTTTTTTCCATTCATATCGTGAAGCGGTGGCATCAATCCAACCAACGGTGCTCATTTTTCATGAGTAATAGGTCAAAAAAATGTTTGAATGTCAGTTTCTACGAGCTAATTTGACCTTCTAGGGGTCATAATGGAAGCATAGAGGCCTGGCGTGTTTCTACACATTCCTGTATGGTATTCATTGTGCGATCCACGAAAAATCTAGTACAAGAATTTTCTAAAAA